TTGCGGGGCCGGTGGCGGGCCTGCGGGGTTAGGCGGCGGGGTACCCGGGGCTGGGCGGCGGCGGGGGTCGTCCGGCGGTGGCGGGGTTGGATGGCCCCCGCAGCGGGGGTCCGGGGGCCGCAGCCTCACACCGGCTTTGCCCCCGGGGATCCCCGCTCGACAACGCTGCCTCCAATCATATAATTCGGCCTCAGACATTCATGGCCTAATCGAGAGGGAGTAAGATTTGTCATCCAAGATCACTCACTGTATCTTCTTTTTTTCTGAGAAGCCAGGTGGCAATTTCTTTGGTTGTAGCCACATAGGTGCCCAAATTGTACCCTTCGTTCCGAAAGAGCCCACGATTTAGGGGGGCATTCACCTCACCACTCTCAACCCACCCATTCTCATGGATGCGTACAATCCGTTTTTTAACTGATGCGTGCAGAGAGGTGGAATCCCCCCCGAAAGCAATGGTAACTGCGTGTTCTGCTAACCATTTTTGTTGAATCCGATAGACTTCCGGTTTGACCACTACTCGGTTAAAGTCCTCCCCGGCTTCAACAATTTGAGGGTTAAGTTCTTTCAGAATGATTCCTTCATTATTGCAAATATTAATTAACTTGCCAACTTGGTAATTCGTTCTTTCTCAAATGCAGGCATCAGATATGATGAGAATGAATTTTCCCCCATCCTACCTCAGCGGTCGAGAACAAGCCGAAATTAGCAATCCTACCAAAACTAATCAAAACAAATTTTGAAGAAACACACTTAGAAAGGGAATTCTATTCAGAAATCTATTCATGCATAACATTAATCCAATACACAAAATATATAGGAAGCCTCAATAAGTAGTCGAACAAACTATACCTCTCCCTAAAAAGAAGGCACAAGAAGATTATACCTCACCAACCGTGTCTTCGAAGTGTGGAGGATTGGGGTCCATCAAGTCCTATCATATGCACGAGACTCGTCTTACGGAACAAGCAGAGTTTGGGCGAGAAGCGAGAAGCGGAGGTAACTAACCGCCGACAATGTCTAAGTGGGAGGCGAAAGCTACGAGTCCCCTTTCTTTTCGATCAAAACACATTAAGAGATAGAGGGGGGGACAAACGGGGAAGGGCGGTTTCGTTAACCCTAGCCCTAATCAATGCCTAGGATCCTCCCTCTCTTGAACCCGTTAAGAACTAAACGAGCCACACATTCCGCACTCCCGTTCACCATTCTTCTCCATTTGCTCGACTCTCCCCCGCACCCCATTTCTCTTCAGGCTCCCTCTCCGCTATTCTGACGCCAAACCTAGCTTGACCATCGCACTCGCCTCGACCAAAAACCCCCGTCTACCATTTTACCTTGCTCGATTCCATTGAGAATCGAGTGAGATAACGATATTATGCTCCCACCATATCCTTTTCTCTCGATAGGTCCGCGCACTCAGTTTCT